CTGGACATTTGGAATATTTATGGTTTGGCTGTTATAAATGGTGATGCAGCATTCACTTCTGTGGACAAATCTGTGTCTGAATTTCTGATTATATCTTTAGTACATACAGGGCTCAAGAGGCTCTTAACATTTTACTTTTGAAGGTAACTGTTATACTATATCCTCACCAGCATTTACATGTTATCATTTAAAAGTCATTTTTAATTTAATAAATCAGAAGTAGTATCATTGTTTCATTGAGTAGAATGAACTGTTTTTTGTTTTTTAATTTTTTAAAAAGATTTTATTCTCTCAAATAAAATGTGTGTGTGAGAGAGAGAGCGTGCACAAGCAGGGGGGAGGGGTAGAGGGAGAAAGTGGGAAAAGCAGACTGTCCCCTGAGTAGGGAGCCCAATATGGGGCTAGATCCCAGGACCCTGGGATCACAACCTGAGCCAGAGGCAGACATTTAACCAACTGAGCCACCCAGGCGCCCGAATGAACTGTTTTTCATCGGGCTTCTGGTTTTGTTAGATGTTTGTGGATTTTGCTCACTCACCTATTTAGGTCTTAGGAGGATTCTTAATTTATATGCATTTTTTATGGATTAAGGATAATAATCCTTTTTCATATTGGTAGTTATTTTTTTAACTACTTTCTTTTTTCTGTAACATTTTAATTTCTGTGTTTTCCCCCATTGCTTTACAGCATAGAAAAATTTCACACACCTAAGAGGTAAAAATAAGTATTACTGTGGAAATTGTTTAACTTACGGTATAGTTTGTCAGTGGAATAGGTTTTACTTTAATTTTATCATTGTAGAATAATAATGTAAACACAGAATAGCTGCATCAAGTACTCAGAGACCCTAAAAAGTAAAATACAAAAGGAATACCCAAGGGCGAGACAAGGATAGAATATATCTAACTCTGTTGGTTTATTGATGTTGCAATTCTAAGACTGCCTTTTTTTTTTTTTTTTTTTTTTTTTTTTAATTTTCATAGATGAAGTGTTCAGAGGACATGAGCCAGGGCAAGCAGCAAACAGGTCTGTGTCCGCAGCTGATGTTGTTTTATATGGAGTGAACCTAATTCTGCCTCTGATGTCACAAGATCTTTTGAAGGTAATTGAAGACAGTGAATGTGAACATGCAAAGTGTGTATGTTTGGAGTTAAAAGATGTTTTAGACAAGAATAGACCCCTGATTTAATTAAGGGGGTATAAGTACCTGCTTCTCTGTTAAGGACACATGAAAACTAGAATTTTAGGTTCCCATTGTCTCATTCGCAATTGTGCATGCAGCTCAGTATGCAGCTCATGCCTCATTTAATCTTGCCCCAGAGTCCTGCGTTCGCTGCTAATTAGTGACAGGAAAAAAATGGTTCTTTTAGAAACTTAGTTCTAATGTTGGCAGTTCTGGTTCCCTCATCATTTGTCATTAAGCAACTCAAGTTATATGTTTGGGTATATTCCACTGATAATTTTGAACATCATTCTCAGATTTGAGGGATTGAGCCATAGAAGGCATTTTCTAGCCACCCCATATGGTAAGAAACCAAGACTACCACAGTTTTTAAATTTGTGTACATTCTGATGACCTCATGTCTTGATTTCACTAGTCAGTATTGGTGATGATGAGGCTGCCTTTTCTTCTTTCTTTAAGTACCACGGGGGAGGGGAGTCTGTTTTATGAGTTGTCACAGAGGGCGAGGGTGGGGACAAAGATGCGGATGGGGAAGAAGTGGGAAGTGTGTGTGTGTGCACATGTGTGGAGCTCACACAAGGTAGAGTGGGAGAGGGAAAGAAAAGTCAGTCGTGGGAAGGAAGAAGATAGAGGTTGAGAAGTGGTTGGACTTTGTGGTTAGGAGTAGGAGGTGCTGGGGCGCCTGGGTGGCTCAGTCATTGGGCGTCTGCCTTCGGCTCAGGTCATGATCCCAGGGTCCTAGGACTGAGCCCCAGGCTCCCAGCTCAGCGGGAAGCCTGCTTCTCCCTCTCCCACTGCACCTGCTTGTGTTCCCTCTCTCGTTGTGTCTCTCTGTCAAATAAATAAATAAAATCTTCAAAAAAAAAAAAAAAAGAGTAGCAGGTGCTGCCAGATTCCCAGAGTGGGCTGGGACCTCATGCTTCTTTACCTGAGAAATGTCTTTGGGAGAGGATACTGATGCCCCATGAGCCAAGTATTCATGTAGCCACAGTATATTGCTTTGCTTTTAGGGCTTTTTTGGTTTGGTTTTGAGGTTTTTTTCCTCATCAAATAGACCATTAAACTGATGTGTATTTTCTTAAGTAAAGTTAAAAGTGTTCATTGCCTACTTTTTACTTCAGTTTTCCAGGACTGTCAGTGAACTTTTGGAAGTGTGAAGGAGTGAATATTCTATTCTACACATAATCTTAACAATTTGTATTTTTCTAATATGCTGGAATGCAAATAAACACATTTGCAAAAGGGTTTTAATCATAGGTCATTTAATAATTTGAAATTTGGCTGTTTGGTCTACTTTTTCAAGGTAAACAGACTATCTGGAATTGGCTGTAGCTTTTATTAACTGTCCAGATCATTGTTTCTACTATGTATTACTTTTGTATACTAAAATATTTCCTTTATTATAACTTATTTTTACATTTAATTTGGTCTTCATGTCTTCTGAATCCAATATGTTTTAAAGAAATCATTGTACTTTAAGTTTGTTGGTTATTATTTTATTTTACTGCATTAATGAAAATAGAAATTAGATATCAGTAAGCATCTAAATATTTAATATTTCTTTTTCAGTTTCCAACCCTTTGTAATCAGTACTACAAATTAATCACATTTATCTGTGAGATTTTTCCTGAAAAAATACCACAGCTTCCTGAAGATCTTTTTAAAAGTCTGATGTACTCTCTAGAACTAGGAATGACATCATATCCTTTAAATGAACATCATTATCATTTGTCACTTGGGGTAAAAGATCTTAACCTAAAGAAAAGTTTTTAAAATTTGTATTTTTAATTTTTCCTTAGTGGTATAGTTTTATTTCTTAAGAAAGCAGTCATCTTCCTCCCTGAATTCTGTGTTTCTTTCGTTAGTTTGCCTCACCTTCTCCTCCTTTCACAGATCCCAAAGGCGTTTGGCACCTGGTCCTGAAGTCACTCTTTCATTAGGAGCACCAATTAGTAATGTCATGTACTGTTGCTGAGTCTCAGATCTTAGCTACCTGATAGTAGAGAATAATAAGGCTTTTTATCACTTGTGTCCTCATGATCAGAAACCTAGAAATCTACAGCCCAGGACCCTCTCAGAAACACTGGAAGCCTTTTCTCACATAATGCCATACACTAATCTACTCCTCTGTATTCAGTCGTAGAATTTGATAATAGCTATAACTTCTTCATCTTTTATAAGTCAAATGTATCTAGTTTGTTCCTTGACCTTCGTGATCAGAATGAGTTCGGAGGTTTGCCAGCTCTGCCTGGAAGCTTTAACACCATTAGCTGAACAGTGTGCTAAAGCACAAGAAACAGATTCACCACTTTTTCTAGCAACACGGCACTTTCTTAAGGTAAGATGTTTGGGTGGCCTGTCGTGAAACCATCTGCTTTAATAAGTATGGTCAGTGCTTGTAAATCCTCATTCAAATGAGGAAATGCTTACATCATTCATAAAGCAGGAAATCATTACTTTTTGTTCACTGTGCTTTCTGGAGATCAGTTCTGGATACATTATTCTCCCCTTTTATTGTGTGTTCTTGAAAATCGATTTGGGAAAGGTAACAGGGAATTTGGTCATTTGATGATTTCACGTATCACAGCAAGGGGTAACATCTGTACATTATGGTTGGATTTTTAAAAAACTGTTTAATTTTCAGATTTATTTAATAAATAAGAACAACTACCACCCCTCCTTTGTTGGAATGGGGAGGGGCTGGAAGATTGAATGATCATCATGTATTTTTATTTAGAGGTTTTATGTTGTGTACTTTCAGCTGGTTTTTGATATGCTGGTTTTGCAAAAGCACAACACAGAGATGACCACTGCAGCCGGTGAAGCTTTCTACACGTTGGTGTGCTTGCATCAGGTACTGGACACAAGTCTCTTCATGGGACTCTTCTCATTTTTTTAGCAAGGAGATTATTCTTGCAGAGAGTGGGCCTTTAATACTTCCAGTTCTTAGAGAATCTGTGACTCATTGCTTCAGTTCTATCTCAGTGAGGCTATATTTCTTTACTTCCTTGTCAGCTCTGACTTCCTGTGTTTTATTTAACAATCTGTTGTCAGTTAATAAGGACTTCTTTTCCTTTCTCCACTGTTGTGAATCATCCTTTGCATTGATTGCTGCCCTAAAGCTTGTCCTTAAACATGTGCTAGGAACCAGGAATCCACCTGAAAGAATAGTAGTGAATGTTTTCTGTCCTTGAGGAACTCACAGTTTTGTAAGGGAGACCAGATGAGTAAGACTGGGGACCCAGAGGAGTCTGCCTTGAGAAAGCATGGAAATCAACAGTGTGTATTTCTTGTCATAGTATACAAAATGTATTAATATTACACTATGGAAAAGAGTATATTGTTTCATTTTATTTTGCTCAGCCTTTAAAGACTCTGAAGTGCTCACTCAGTGTTTGGGGTTAATGTAATGGGAGAAAAGTTCCACTATCTCACCTGTCCCTTCCCTATTCCAATAGAGTAGGTACCCATCAGGTATATGAGAAGAACCATATTGGGCCATCAGCTGCCTTAGTTTCCCAACACTCCTTTCCCCTCTTTTTTGGCTGTCCACCCGCACCGCCAAGCACATGTAAATGTCCTGCATGACTAAGTGATTGACTTTTTTTTTTTTTTTTTTTTATTAAAAAGCTTTGGCCTTTTTTTTTCCTTCCTTGTGTGTAGAGTCCATAGCATTTGCTGTGAGTGGCACTCAGGGTTTGATTTTATTTACCTTTTTAATAAAGATAGGATTTTGAGGCCTTTCATATTACTTAAAGACTCCCTATAGACTTCCTGTACCATCTGCGCCCCAGGCCAAAGGTACTCTGGGACTTTGGTTCTTGCTGTGCTCTGGAGGTACTACTTTCTGCAGAGGGTACCCAACTCAGGTCTGTGGCCTTTCGCTATCATCTTACTCCTTTTTGCTTACTAGGAAGATAGGTTTCTTATTCCCATAAATACAAGCCATTGCATTCCAGGTGCCTTTAAAAAAAAAAAAATTACACATTGTAGAAAAGAGAGCAGGGCTTTAGGTGTGGCTAGTATAATATCTTGCTGGGTCTGGCCCCAGAGGGACTACCATTTCTTATGAATAGGGAAACGATTTGAGTTTATAGTTAATCCCTCTGTGAGCAGGTCTGTCCCTTGGATAAAGCATTTGGGGTGGCCATCTGGATTCCATGCTTGTGGGTCAGGGATGGCATACTATGCGTTACTCTTCCTTTGCAGATGTAATTAACATTTCATGTCACCATTTTGGTGTATCATGATAGTCCAAAGAAGCTAATGAAAAATAGTGTCAGACCTGCTTTTTTTTCAAGAGAGCTTGTCTTGAAAAGCTGTTTTGGTTGAATGTCTCTTAACCCCACACCTACTCCTCTGTATAAGGCTTTATTATAGAGGGCATTAAAAATAGAAGCTCTACACATACACCCCCACCCCTACTCCCATGTTCCTGTATTTCTTATGCTCCTTCTCCTGCCCTTTCTCCCAGAGCCACTGGGTTCATTACTGGTTCAGAGCACATTTGCTCATTCAAAGTATTCTACTTCCACCTTGAGAAAAGACTGAAATAGACTCCTCCCACTATGCCACCTCCTCCCAAATAACTCCTGTCTGCCTTTGTGTGAGTCTGCTATCCTCAGAACTGTGTTGACAGGATGTCTATATTAACCTCTGGGAAATTGTTGAAAGTCAGGCTGCAGACTTAGGTTATATATAAAATGCAAAATAAATATGAATAATGTGCTTGGAAAACAGAGAAGAGGCAACACAACAGAGTTGGTAATTGCATGACTTCTGGAGCCAAGCAGCCTGGATTCTTGCTTAAAAGCAGTGCAATCTTGGACATATTACTTAATCTCACTGTATGTAAGAAGTTCCGTCTGTGAAGCAGGAGTATAAACAGTACCTACTTCATAGGATTGTTATAAAAAGTGAGTTACTAATGTAAATGACTGGGACAGTACCTGAAATATAGTAAACTTTCAGGAAATGTTAACCATTAAAAAGAGTTGTTGTGATCATTTCACAGTGTATTCAAATAGGGAATTATACCGGAAACTAATATAATGTTATATGACAGTTACGCTTTAATATAAAAGAAAGCTTTCAGACCCTGCCTTTCAGAACCCCACAGCCCAGTACCTGATGTGATCCACTTGTGTGATGTTTGAGGAAGATACATGTTCTTATGTGTACTTTATCTCTTCAATAGGCTGAATATTCTGAATTGGTTGAAACATTACTGTCAAGTCAACAAGACCCAGTTATTTACCAGAGATTAGCAGATGCCTTCAACAAGCTTACTGCAAGCAGCACTCCTCCTACGCTGGATCGGAAGCAGAAGATGGCCTTCCTAAAGAGTTTAGAAGAATTTATGGCAAATGTTGGTGGTCTCCTTTGTGTAAAATAAACAACAAAACTTTATGCTTAATTTAGATCTTTCTGCAAAGTGCACTGAATTGCTAAAAGCTGACTTGAGTCTTGTCCTGTTCTTCAGTTCTTTGGCCGTTTGGATTTTGGAAAGCCTGAAAGTTTGATATGTAATGCAGTGAAACAGGAGAGGTCACCTTTGATTCAGCTTCTGCTGTTGGGTGTTAGCCACAGTCTGTCATATATGTCTTGTAGATTTTGAATGGTGATTTAAGATTTCAATTCCATATATGTGCAAACAGATATGGGCACCATGAAATGCATATTCAGTGCCTTTCCCCCTTTATCAAAACATTAGGTGGCTAGCCAAAGTTTAGAATTTTTGTTAAATTAAACATTAGATGGACATGTACTCCCCATTGTTTCCCAAAATGTTGTCCATACATCACCTGCATCACTCGAGGAGCTGGTTGAAAAGGTAGATTCTTGGGCCCGACAGTAGATCCTCGGAGTCAGAATTTCTGTGTGTTGGGCCTTGGATTCTTCATTTTAATAAGCTCCTCCCTTCTGCCACCCCAAAAGTTTTGAATCAATGCAAAAGACATTGGAAACTCCTAAGAGGTTTTGTGCTTTCAGACTTTTCCTCCCTTTGTTAATAAGGTTTGTAACTGAGCAGGAAGAAAACACACCAGGTATTTGTTGGTTTCTTGTAGCACACACTCTTGCTCTTTCTTTTTTGTAACATCAGCCTGGTGTTGCAGGTTTTGCGTAATACAGGTCTCTAATCATACTCTGATGACTGAACTTGAGGAGGAAAATACATGTATATTTTTGTTCCATGAAAAGAACTTTAGGAACTGTAGCCATTTCATTGCCTTAATTTTAAGAAGAAAATACAAAAAAGAGCAGATTTGTTTTAGTAAGAAATCAAGTCTTGATGCTTCAGAGTTGGTTTAGGGTGTTAGCTGCTATGAACCTGGTGCCCTTTTGATCATGTATTTATGTGGGTTTATGAGTGAAATGAAAGGCTCATTCATATGTAGTCTAACTTTTTGAGTATGTTTCTCTTCAGCCATGTAGCCCATGGCTAATAATCTACTCTGAGTGGCTTGCTTAAGCAATAACTATTTTAAAGGATGTGAATTACTGATTCATACAGACTATTATACATTGGGGCATTAGGGGCAATAATTATGCTAGAGTGGACGTTCTCCTCATTTCACAGGAGCCATGTAAATTTAATTTAAGAGATTAAAAAATTCCTATTTAGATCCTCTAGTTTGATTTTTCTAATCAGGACTTTTGTACTGCTGCCATGCTCCCCTTAATTCTGTGTGCCAGCTTAAATTATGGAAATGAAAGCTAATTTATAAACTGCAGGCATATGAAACTGCCCACCTCAGTGTCAGAAATCCCACAGCACAGTGACAGAGGACTCTGGTGCAGGCGCACTCTGAAACTGTGCTTCCAAGGGATGGGCTTTCTCCTTCTGCTGTGTTCTTGACACCTACATGCTCAACTGTCCTTCGAATGTAGTGTTCATATCTGAATTGCATATAGTATTTGCACCTTCACATGCGATGCTGTGCAAAACTCTGTATAACTCCATGCTACTAACAGTTACAGTTAACAAAACTGGAGCATCAAAATTACACCCACCCTGTGCATGTGACATTAGACACGAGTGAATGCAAAGCCTAGGGCCGTAACTTTGTGAGGAACATTACTCTTAATTCAATCACTGTTGAGTAACAACTGAGGTGGAGCAAAAGCATCTTAAAAGACAGGAAAAAACTAATATCACTCTTCATGAAATATACATGTTATATTTTTAAGACGCTTTGAACAGGTGCATTTATTTTTAGATTTTTTTTCTTCTTTTTTCCCCTTAACTTGAAGTCCGATGTGGCATTGTACTTGGTGTTTTATGTTTCCCAGCTCCCTCACGCTTTCTCACTAGTTGTGTGCTGTGCATATCTGTGTGTTTAGTAAGTATAGTCCCTTTGCCAAAGGACGCTGAAATCGCAGCTTAACTGGGTAGGTCTGCTGGCCATGACAAAACTATAATCAAATTGTTAAAAGTAAAGATGAGTAGGAAAGAAATGCCTTGTTAAATAAAAAGGCATCAGTATTTAGTAACTTCTCTCTAGACAGTAATGTATCTGCTGAATTGGCCCAGATGTTATTATAATACTGCAGTTTCATTAGATGAGTTTAAATTTAAGTGAGATTTACTTCGGATTGGACCAAATGATACTTCAGTATTGCCAGAATGTTGATTAGTGGCAAACTGGGGAAAAACAGCCACCACCATTTTCTAGGTAATGGGGATGCCACTTTAATTGCAATGGCTAAGACTTCTTTTCAGGGTGTTTGTGTGTGTCTGCCTGATTGAATATTTGTTTAGTTTGGGTCTTTTGTTTTACTTGGTCCAGTTTTGTTTTTGGCTATATTTACTGGCTCTTTGGTTTTTGGGGTTTTTGTTTTAATGCTCTTGGCCCAGTGGATGTAAAAGAACACTGGCTTAATTCTAGTAAATTGATTCGTACTATTAAGAGTTTTAAAAACAAAAACATTATTTGTGCCCCCCCTTTTATATGTTAAAGGGACACCGTTGACGACACGATTGTTAGAATTTTGTGCTTTACGAAATTTCTGTTGTTCATATATAATATCCTTTAACTTCTAGTTTTCAATTCATCCTTTGACTTATATCTTGTTTTATTTTCCTTTCCCATTTGTTTCCCAAAGGCATAGTCTCTACAGAGTCCCAAGGCACAATCACTAGGGACTTGGTCCTTTCACAATTTGTATCCATATAAAGTACCTGTAACTGTATTCTTGTAGCTCTGTTAAAAGGATTAGTTTGTTTTTACAGTCCTTCTGGATGGGTGGCTGCCTGGGTAGCTAAACTATTTGGCAGTATTTGACAGTGTCCTTCTCAACACAGTTATCCAGGTCTTTCTGCCTGGCTGTCTCTTAATTTGTTGGAAGACAGGAGGGGCATGTTAACATCACTGCATTGAGTTTTTTGTCTGGTATAAAGTATGACATGTAAAAAAACAAAAAACTTCGCAATATTTTTCAAATTTTAAGAATTTAGTCTTATTTCATTGTAAACCATGTATCTAATTATATTACATTACTCAGTTCAGATATGATGGTTACTACCTTTTTTTTTCAGTTTTCACTTCACAACCAAGCATCTCTATTATTATAACTTCCCCCCAGCTAGCAATATTTAACATTCCCCTTACTGTCTTTGATTGAACTTTCTCTTTTACCAAGATGTCAAGTCTTTGTCTTTCTAATACCACCATATTTCCCCTTTTGGTTAATACGTGTATGAATCCCTCAAGTATGGAAGGGAACTAGCTTTCAGTTCCAAGGATTTCAGGTTTGAGTCCAGTAATCGGTGTCAGTTGAACCCTTAAAAAACCCTTTTTAAAACAGTTTTGTTTCTGTTTGCCACTTCTGTGGTTGTCAGTACACCTTATAAGTTAGCTGTCTCACAGATAATCCTGAATAAAATATTAGCTGTTAAGGCAGAAGGAACCTCAATACTTCTTAGTGTTTGTTTGTTTTTTAAACAGAATAAAGAATGGATT